AATTGGCAGCATATGTTGCCATCGGCCCGAGGAGAGTACGAGTACGGGTAGGTTGGAGAGCGCTAAAGCTTAATGTCTGAAACAAAGCAAACAATTCAAATAAACGCGTCAAGAGATTAAAACTTCAAATTGCTTGCTGCATAAATTACGAGTACAACAGGAGCAGCTGGGCCGAGCTTGATGGCGTCGTCATCGTCAAAAGGGCTGCCATTAATTTCATATTGTTGCGCATTAAGCTTTAAGTGACTTAAAAGGCCTAAAGCTAAAGCCAGAGTGCGCTGACATGGAGAATTAAAACGTTTATTTTTTCTGATGCCGTTGTTGCTGCTGATAATTTTCTATAATTTTTCCGACGTGCGTCGTGCGTGGGGTGCCTGCACTCGAGCACCTCTCAGTGGGTATAAATAATTGCGGCTGACATTTTGATAAATGAGTCCCGGCCAACTTAATGAAACTAAGCGGAGGCCATCCGAGATGTGTGTGCCGTGTGTCGTGTGGTGTGTGTCGTTGCTCCTGCTGTAGCTATAGCTGTCGTCGATGTTGCTGCTGCATGTGTTCGTATATTTTCTCGCTTTTAAATTAAGATAATGCAGCATGCGTAATTTTTCACCAGCGCCACAGTGCGTATGAGTAACGCAATTTCCTGCCAGATGCCAGCTGCCGGCACCGCATCACCGCATCATCACTGCAGCTGCCATGTGCTCAGCCATGAGCAGTGTGTTCTGAATTGGGTGTGGTGCTGATGCGCCTTCTCCCCTCCCGTCCCTCTGTCCTCCACAAGCTTTTAGCAACAATTTCAGCTAATGCGACTGATAAGCGCGCATAATATATTCGCGGCCATTAGCAGTGCATTTGCAGACTTAAATGGACGACTGCCAGCCCAAAATGAGTCTTTATATGCAATTTGGCGCGCAGCTGACCGACCAGGAACTCCATCCACACTATGCAACGACCGAGCGACGACAATGCACTCTGAATTTTCTGCATTTTTTGCATTTGCGACTGCCCGATTTATGGAACTTGTTAATGCATCGCTCGGTATCCCTACCCCCTCTTCATTTGCCCTCCTTCTTTACTAACGCCAGCCACTTTGCTTGCGCTGCTCTCAAATCCAATTTCATTATGCAAAACGTGTGGCGAATTAAAAGCAGATTTGCCACTTCAACTTGAATGCAGTACAGGGCTTGCCATTTAATGTGTCCGTGGTCGCGTGATTCTGCTGCTTGCGGCATTATTGGGGCCAAGTTGTGAGATGCAACAATGCAGTTTCATCTTCAAGGAGTACGGCACGCACGTATACTCGTACAGTCTCGTTTAATTGAATATGTCTAGGGGAAAGGCACACGGAATTTATCTCTTTCTTTTGCTATCTTGCCCTTCGTTCCGCAAAATCAAACACTTCATGCGTTTCACACTAAGAGTAATTCGGGGCGATTTTAAAATTCCATTGAAAAGTTTAACATTTTCCAGCATAAAGATATGCAGAACGTTTTGATATACGAGAAATGTTTGTGGAATTTACAGCAACTTTAAACACTCACTTTCGCCAATATATGGCAAAAACTACACGTATGCTCGTATAGTAGCAGAAATGTTTGTGCAATAAGCAAGAGCGCATCAGTCAACCTACTTCGACTTGTAACGATGAAGCACCACATGGATGCTCTGTGAAATGTCGTATAACGATTTTAATCGTGGCCTTTGTTCGGTGCAGGATGATTTTTGTACTTTGGACTCAAAAGCTGAAAGAATGTATTACAAACCTGAGACTACTAGTATATGCTTACTTTATCATATAGCTGCCATAAAAACAATCGGCACAGGCAACACTCTACGATACTCGTATTGCAACCAATATATATTCTTAAATGGATTGAGAAACTAGTCACGCATAAAATTCTTTGCGTATACTTAGCATTTTAAATCGTTATCGAAAAATGGAAACATTTTCATTTCAACTTAAGCTTGCGAGGCATATCTAGGTGCGAGTGTATCTGAATTATGAACTTTAAAAAGGTATTAGGAAATCTATTATTATTATTGTTTTTATGCTGGCAACTACAAGCAGGCGATGATAACATTGGATAGTAATAATACTAAAGATACAATAATATATTTATTTACAGTCTAGCTCAAAAAAAGGATATTGCTTACTTGGCCATGTGCTGAGTCTCTGCTCCAAGCTAGTAGCGTAAAGCCTTAGTCTGGCACCTATTCCAACGACCATCACTGTAAATATGTGTGCACACATAATTTAATGCATGTGATTGCAAATTCGAGAAATTTTCGCATTATCTATGACTGGTCGTCTGCGTGGGCGCATCTCGGTGTCGGAGCGAGCGGTGAATACAGGGCGTATGCGTAATTTCGTGTTGTTTATGGCCTCGACGGCATTTCGGTTGTAGCAGACTGTAGCAGTGTTTGCGTGTGCGCTGTGGCATGCGCCAGTGATTGGCACTGGCACATCCACAGGCTACATACATGCACTTCCATAGGCAGTTAATATATGTAATAAGCACTTGACAAGCAATCTTCTCTAGCCATGTGTTGATGCGGCACGGGTGTGTCACAATGCCTCTTTCCTCATTCTCTACTGTCCTTGTTATTGTGGTTGGGGTAGTGGTGTGTCGGTGTGGACATTTGTCACTTGTGGCCTGTTTGTCGGTCGGTGGCTTTCCCGAATTTATTATGTTGATGTTGTTCTGCAGCGTATAATTTGAAATCAAGTGCGGTAGCTTCGAAACATGTCATCGCGGCGTATTCTTAACATAATCGAATAACATATACACCACAACAACGCACGGCGGAAACTCGAGAAATTATGCGTCTTATGCTTACATGCCTCGATGTGCAATTCTCTTTATCATAATTTCAAGTTGAGTTCATTGGCAACAAAAATAAAAGTAGGAACATAACAGCAAAAACAACAGACCAAACCCTCTGCAGCAACCTGTTATCACAAAATCGGTGCGTGTGTGCCACAACTTGGGGCAGCAATGATACGCCCAAGTTTCGCTTTTCAATTATGTTCTGGCAGACGTGACTATCACGCATAATGTGCGTGATATGTTGGCAGTTATTTTGAAGATTTGATTCCGGTGCGCCTTTAAATGACTTATTTTGACCTTTTATTGATGCTGTGTCTTCATCCGACTACACACATACACACATGAATTATATATGTATATACATATACTCGTATGTATGTGTTGGGGGCCTGCCCCTAAAATGCTTTCGACCGACCATTATGTGTTTATCTTTATTCGATCTGGCAGGCAAAGTAACAATTCATTGTGTACGTGTTAATATATTAGAATTGGGCTATTAACTGCTTAAAAATCGGATATAGATTTGCCATTATTTCTATACTTGTATACTATACTACACATGTATAGCATGGGTGTCGCCATGAGTACGGAATTGGCAAGCAAAAAAAACATGTAGCATAAACATATCTGTGTGCGAATATGTTCGTATTTAAAGTCCGACTATGGACGCACTGCTGTCGGACAAACAAAGTCGAAATTGTTGAGCAATGTGGGTTAAAATAAAAACGTAAACAAAGGGCGGCAGCGCACACACATGAGCCCCAAACCCATAATAAACATTAAAGGAAAAGCAGCACACACACGCACATAGAAACTTTGGGGTAAGACGAAAATGTTGCCACGATGAAAAGGTACGGACGGCACTCACTCACACACATCATGTTGAAATATAAACGTGAAAAGTGCTCCAGCAAATGGGTTTAGGGCAGTGGGACAACCAAGCGCCAAACAAAACAAAGCACCTTGTGAAACGAAGTGGGAATGGAACGTCGTCGCGAGCAAATGTCCCGGACCCAACGGGAGCAAATTTCCCTTGTATGGTATTGGAGAGTGACGCCCAACAAACGACGACGGCGTCACCGACGAGGCAACGAAGCGTTTGCCGCATGCTGTGGAAAACGATTTTGGTAGCAAGTTGTGGCATGAACATTCGCACGCTTTTCAGTTAAGATGTGCATTTCCAGCGGTGCGAACGTGTCTCGGGCGCGTCAAAGGGCCACCACCTAGTAGAGAGAAGAATCCACTAAGCAGCCAAAAATAAATCGGCACTATGCCTACGCCTGATTAAGCGGGACTGGTGCTAATTGACATGCGTATTGTGCGCAAATATACGTAAAGTGTAAATAATGAAATAGAAATGTACAAAATGAATTAAAAATATATATGTATAGTGTATCAACTGCCGGCCGATCAGTGATCAGAGATTGAGGATTGTTTTGATTTATCACTGGCAAAATATTTGAAGGCATTTCGCTGGCTCGAACATTGGTTTCAATCGGAGTTAGGGGGGAACACAAAGCAAAACAAAACAAAACAAAACGTATTCATATTTATTCAAATTGTCGGCCAAGTGTAGAAGTAAAGGCGTGAAAATTCATTTTTCATTGCCAGATTCGGATAAATGCGCAATGTGAAGCAACGGCGCGTCGGTCGGAGATCGACGAATGACATGTGCGCGGCCACAAATGGAAATCAAACAAATGCAAAAACAAAACATAAAAAAAGCACACCAATTGCTTAAAGCACTTTTGTAAATATCGTATGTTAGGAATTTTTTCAATACATTAAATTCAATATTCAATTAAAATAGCGCGCGATTCTCAAGCAGCGGAAACGTGCCACACAAGTTTCGGTTCAAAACGGGTAACGCATTAAAAACCAAAACCAAAACTATGCTACACATTAGATAAATTATTAGATTTAATAAGGTGTTAAACGAAATTGAAGTGGTTTGCTTAAAATTGAAATCAGAAAAACGTATAAATATCCTCAAAATAAAATAATCGAGTGAGCGCACGGCAAGCCATAAAATTCCAATCCACACAAACAGAAACAACTTTCACGTTCACCACAAAAACAGCAAAAACAACAAGAACAACAAAAATTTGTGGGCGGCAGCATGGGACCAATTTAAGCATAGAACAGCAGCAGAGCCACCAAGGAAACAGAAACATGGACTACGCCAAGCTAGACGCAAAGCTCAATGGCAATATCAACACAGGCAACATCAGCACCGACGACTTCCTGGCCGTCTTCACAACGACCAGCAGTGCATCGCCCCCAACGGCCGTGGCATCCGCGACACCGGACAGCAATGCCACACTCAACCCGCCCCTGCTCACCGTCGACGGTCAATTCACGCTGTCCAATCTGCTGGATGTGCAGCAGCCGACGAGCAATCCAGCGGCGGCCTACATAAATGACACCTTCTATCTGTTGGGTGGCAACGGGAGCTTCTACAACAATAGTTTGCAGCTGGCGGGCAGCTACTACAATCAGACGGCGGCGAACATTAGCGGAGGCAGCGGTGGCAACATCACCGAGGTGCACTGGGACGGTCGCTATCCGAGCGGCTACACGCTCACTCACATAGTGATCGCCTCGATCATCGTCACAATACTGATGATCATTATTGTTGTTGGCAATATGCTGGTAATTATTGCAATTGCGACGGAGAAATCGCTGAAGAACATACAGAACTGGTTCATTGCCTCTCTGGCCGTGGCCGATTTCTTTCTGGGCCTCATCATTATGCCCTTCTCGCTGGCCAACGAGCTCATGGGCTACTGGATCTTTGGCAGCTGGTGGTGTGACATACACTCGGCCATGGACGTGCTGCTGTGCACGGCCTCGATCATGAATCTCTGTCTTATCTCGCTCGATCGCTACTGGAGCATCACCAAAGCGGTGGATTATCTCAAGTCACGCACGCCGGCACGTGCTGCTGTGATGATCACCGCCGTGTGGATTATGTCCGCGCTCATTTGCATTCCACCTCTGCTCGGCTGGAAAGTGAAGATGCCGGGCGGCCCGTTGCCAAAGTGTAAGGTAAGTGTCGGGTCCGTTAGCAAAATTGAACACAATTTAAATAAATTGGCTCTTGAGGCCATACACAGAATGATAAAAAAACAAATACTTAGTAGTATATCAATACCAATTAGTTAGTAGGTAGTACTACTTGTAAGTATGACATACTAATTATGTTTTACGCACAATTGAGTATTCGAATGAAATTTGTTTGGCATTTCTGTGCTGATACAATTTCGGACTTTATTAGTGTTATACAAATAATTGACATCGATTTTGTGTGACGTACACGACTTATACTTGTATAACCAAAAGGGGTTGTTAAAAAATGAAGTTGAATTAGAAATAAGAATACATGCAAAACACCCAATGTACGTATGCCCTTAAATTCAATAAAGACTTAATTGTAATGCTTCATAATTACAAATCACAAATTACTTTAAACATTTGCAGTATTATAAATCATGTACATATCCGTTGTAGATGTATTTGTTATGTCTTGTCAACTAACATTTTACATTTCTTCATTCACTAGCCTGTATTTATTTTTGGAACGATATTGTAAAGGATTTTAGGATCTTATTGAATTTTAAATTAGGTGGTCGGGGTGTACTCGTTTTGGATGTGTTGGATAGCAATAAGTGTAATTTACTGTTAGAAATAAAAAGGAACGAATTTGTGTTATTTGTGTGGATTGGCGATCCTTTAGTAAGTGTTCCATTGCTAGTGGAATATTGTATGAATATGTATTTCATTAATTGCGGTGGTATGTGTTTTTGTGCATAACTGAGTCGATTTAATTAATGTGTCCTAGATCTGTTGTTTTGATTACATATTTTAGCTAGATTTAACTTGTTGGTCTGCTATTTCGTAACTCTATTTAAATGATTATTGTTGTCAATGATACCAATAGTTTGAATTGATTATAATGATTCAGAACAGTTATATATTTTCATCAAATATTTTGAAATCTTTACTGCTTCCTGTAAATGACAATAAAATCAACAAAGTAGCTTGAAGAAAAATCTCCAGTTGAATTTTATTTTATAATGGGAAAATATCTAGTTTGTGGTTTTTAGGTGTTTGTTTGTTATTGTCATAAAGTGATGAAGATGTTGATTGAATGCTGAGTTTTGTTAACCGATATTTACTTTTTTTCAGGCTATAATGAATTATCTACTCTTTCGTCTCTTTTTATATTTCCGCGTTTATTCTTATAACTAAACCAGGCCATTTGTCGACATTTTTCCAAAAAAGTAGTCGCGAATTTTGCTTTTGGTACAATTTTCGAAGGGAGAGAGAGAGAGAGGTTCTGCAGTAAGCTAAAACAATCATCTGACTAAACAATTTGTTAAATTATTGGGACGAGAGAATTGCTAATTTAAGTTGTACACTTATATAAGAGTTTAATTAAATGTGTTGTTGTTTAGAAAACATTTTAAGGTCTTTAATTTACAAATTTTTTTGTAAGTATAACACATCATTGGTGTTGTATTCTGTTTAGTTTCCAAGTATTCTAGTTTTACCATTCAAATTATCCTGAAGTATATAAACAATTATTTAATATTCACCCGCATGACAGTTTTTATGTTAACAGTGCACTGGAAAACCTGTTTCATTTGATGCACTCCATGACTAGTATGCCAAAAGTTACAAACATTAAAATGTTCGGAAATGTACAAGCATTTTTGAAGACCTTAAGTTATTAAATAGCCAAATAAAACAAACACCCTGAGGGTTTAGCTTGCCCGATACATGAAAAAACAAGAACACTTTCAGAAATTGCTTCTACGAGTATCGTGGTAAATGGCTTTTGTTGACCCACAGTAGGTGCAATATGGTTATTAGCAATATCATTGAATATGATTTTTTTCTTTGTGTATGCGCAGTCACTTAAATATTTGCAAATAATGAAGCGCATAACTGAATTTAAATCAAGCGTCCTCTAATACTATATATCAGCGCATGCCGGCAACCGACGTAGAAATATGGCAAAAATATGCGTAATAGGGCCACGGTGGGGATGGAGTCTTGGAGTGTAAGAGTGTGAGATGCGGTTTCTCTATGCAAATTTCTTGTCTTAAGTTTCGTACACAATTGTCGGTTCGTTTCGGCTCGTTGAAGTATATTTGTTGGCTGTTGCTGCTGTTGTTGCTGCCGTTGCTGAGTCGGCCGCAATTCTTGAAAGCGAGGGTAAGTCACGCAGGGAATAAACGCCGATATATTTATGCATATGAGTGGTAACACTCATGGCCACATGGCTGTGTGTGTATGAGTGGCTAATTTTGGCCGCAATGAGAAACCTCACTCATACGAAAATACGTATCTGGCCACAAAAAAGTAGGCAATAACCCATAGAAATATTTCTTATCACACAAGGCAGTTAAGTTCGTTTGCCTGCTGGTGGCGCATCCTTGAATTAAGGCGCGTGCACATTTGAATTTTGATACACACACTGACACACACACACACACAACTTGTGTGTTTGTGTTGTCATTGTTGTGCCCTTTTCGTACCAAACTGGCTGGAAAATTCACTGGAGATTTTTTGGCAGCCATCACCATATTCTGTGGCCGCGTGCTGCCACAAACTGCCGCACGCTTGTTTTGCCACAGCAAACGAAGGCATCAGCCGCAACAACAAACGTAACATAAATATATATATGTATATATATACGTGTATGTAGCATTGCATCTGAGTTCGTTACCGTTTTGAAAATGTTGTACGTTCTACCACAAATTGAGTGTGTCCTTCAAGTCCAGTCCACATTGCAGCAGCAGTTGTGAGCGATTGAGCCACTCAAGCGTACAGGTCACCAAGAACCACAGACACACACTTAAATGCAAATGATGTACCGCCTGCTTGGACAACAGGCTTGCTTGATTACATATCGGAAACACAAAGGAAATGTGCACATAAAAGATGAGTGCGCTTGAGAGCTTCCAAATATTCGATAGGAAATACTTAGTATTTGTGTACTTCGTGTCGTGTCGTCTCAAAACGCTGCAAGCAATTCTACCAAAAATAATTGCAATTGAGTTCATTTCTATTACATAGCTTATAAGCTCTTTTCCAATTTTCGAATTCGGCTTCAATTCGAATTCTAATTCAACAAACAAAATTTATATTTATGAGAATTTTGTAATACCTCAATTCAAGTACAATCGGTGCTCTTCATACAACTGCCAGGATGAAGTCTATTCAAGTTGAAGGACAGTCTTTACAAATGTTGGGCTGATGCCTATTTAATATTCTATTAGTTAAACATGAATTAGTATCAAACAAGTACATAGTTATGTTTTTAATTACGAATTCAGATTAGAATAGTCTTTAATTTTGTGCGTAGTAGAAAATGAATCTCCGAACCACCAGGGCAATAAAAATCTACATGCTTAAATATTTTTGCTATTGTTGTGTGCTTATGATTAGGTGAGATCGTCCCTTAGATGATTTGAATGAGTACTAGTCTTCGTACTGGATATTAGCTGTCGAATCGTAATGCAGGGCAACAACTCTTTCATCATGCACACAAAATGAAGCACGAGCAGCAGGACGTCGGGTCCTCGGTTGGTAATAATTCAAATGAAAGCAAAAATATGCTGCCCTGGCTGCCGGCACGTAAAGTTAAGCCGCCGTTTTATTTATGGCAATCACTATAAACGCGCGAGTGTACAAAATGGAAAATGCAAATATCGCTTGCCTCCGGAATTTTGATTAATTTTTGTCTGCTTACCAAAGATAGCAAAAAGGCGCTCCAACCGTACTCGTAAATAAAACGTACAGCATGCGAGGAGCATAAAATATCTTAAAATGCTTTGCTTAAATTTAACACAGCATTCAAATTAACCTTGAGACAATTCATAAGGCTGGGCTCATTTGAGAACGGACGACATACGGCATAGAGGATCTGGTCGCTTTTTATTTTGCCTGGCCCGTGCCACCGTTGCACATTAATCAAGCCTAAGTGGCCAGGATAACGGCTAGTCGAGGCCAATTGTGGGACTAGTTTATAAAAAAAGGACAAACGAAAAAGTAGCCACATGTTTTACTTTCATGTTTAAGGTATGTTCATAAAGTCAGAATGAAATACACGTATGTATATACCTATAGTATATAAATTTAACATTTCACGAATTGATTAAGTATCTTAACATTTTTTGCTTACAATTTTAAATTCCGCTGGAAAAGCTAGTGTCGCAATATGTTCTGATCTGTCTTTGATTTTCAGAGTAAACAAAGCCACTTCATTTACAGGGTAAACGCCCCGTTTCGAACCCGCCAATTTGTAACTGAATGAAATGACACATATGACATACACACACAAACACACACGCACACACAGGCCGGCCAGTCAACATTTTAATTATGACACTATGTCGACATGTTCAAACTTGTTGTACACTGTCGGTGCCGTCACTCCTAATGGCTGCGCTGGGCTGTGCAGGGCAAAGGATGCGACTGGCACTGAACCGCAATACAAGCCACAACAGATGCATCAACCCGGTGCTGATTTGATACTTGCCCGTCCCTTTTAATTAATAAAACAAAATTTTGAAAAATAATGACAAAAGCGCGCCTATATGAATTCGTAAAATGTAAATTATTTTTTAGCGCACAGTGATCTCAAATCTGCAAATTTTTGGTAAAGCATCCTACATTTACATTGCATTACATTACATATAAATTAAATAACAACAATCGCGTTTTATTTAAATCATTAAACATTTTGCTATGCATTAAATAAAACAAGTCGGCACTAGAGCTGTAAACGTTTCAATTAAAAATCGATTTGATCGTTTTGTTTGTTAAGAGTTATAATTGAATTTGAGGTTTTGAAACTTGAATTGATATATAGTAACTGACCTATTGAGGAGAGGGAAGAAATTTAATGCCGATAGATATTCAACCTTTCTCTACTGCTCTCTAAATATCGTATATTTATGTTGTTTTGAAAGACGTAAGTCTGTTTAGTTCTTTAACTATAAAGTCGAAGGAGAAAAAAGTCTTTTAAGTATTTCATT